TTTCTGTAGATGTGTGCTTTTTCGTTTTTGTTTAGTTTACTTTTGTTTCCTTTGTGTTTTTCCTTTTCCTTTTCTGTTTTTTGTTTGTTTGTTTGTTTTGTTCGGTTTTTTTTGTATAGTATTATTTTGGATTCAATGTTTGTAATTTTTGTTATGATTCTGCATTGGGGGGGAAATTAAAAAAAAAGTTCTTTTCTTCATCAATAGTTTTGTTAAGGGTCTCTGAAGAGACTCTGAAGGATTATACACAGGTAAGTAGCACGGTGGCGCTGTGGGTAAAACCGCAGCGCCTAGGGCTTGCCGATCGAAAGGTCAGCGGTTCGAATCCCCGCAGCGGGGTGCACTCCCGTTGTTCGGTCCCAGCGCCTGCCAACCTAGCAGTTCGAAAGCACTCCCGGGTGCAAGTAGATAAATAGGGACCGCTTACTAGTGGGAAGGTAAACGGCGTTTCCGTGTGCGGCTCTGGCTCGCCAGAGCAGCGATGTCACGCTGGCCACGTGACCCGGAAGTGTCTCCGGACAGCGCTGGCCCCCGGCCTCTTGAGTGAGATGGGCGCACAACCCCAGAGTCTGTCAAGACTGGCCCGTACGGGCAGGGGTACCTTTACCTTTACTTTAAGTAGCACAGACCTCTCACACATCAAATGGCTGTACATGAACTTTACACAAATGATAAATCTGCTGGCCAAAAGGTCTAAGGAAGTGAAGGATGTGGAAAACTAATGGTAACTTCTGCTGGTGTAGATGTGTTGCAGGTGAAATTAAAGTGGTGGAGCAAGAAATAAAAAGTGTGTCATGATGCAGCAACCAGAAAAGCGAATGCAATTCTGGCTGCATTAACAGAAGTGCAGTGTCCAAGGGAAGTCATAGTGCTGATCTATTCTGTCCTGGTCAAACCCCATCTAGAGTCCTGGGTTCTATTCTGGGCACCCCAGTTGAAGAAGGGTCTTGACAAGCTGGGGGTGTTTAGCCTGGGAAGGAGGAGACTGAGACAGGATCTGAGAGTCATCTTCAAATCTCTCTAGAGCTGCCCCATGGAAGATGGAGGCAAGCTTGTTTTCTCCAGTGTGGTGTAGTGGTTAAGTGTGGTGGACTCGTAATCTGGGAAACCGGGTTCGCGTCTCCGCTCCTCCACCTGCAGCTGCTGGGTGACCTTGGGTCAGTCACACTTCTCTGAAGTCTCTCAGCCCTACTCACCTCACAGAGTGTTTGTTGTGGGGGAGGAAGGGAAAGGAGAACGTTAGCCGCTTTGAGACTCCTTAGGGTAGTGATAAAGCGGGATGTCAAATCCAAACTCCTCCTCCTCCTCCTTCTCCTCCTTTCTGGTCTGGAGGGTAGGACTCGAACCAGTGGCTTCAAATTACAAGAAAAGTGATTCCAACTAAACATCAAGAAGAAGGTCCTGATAGTAAGAGCTGCTTGACAGTGCAAAGGTGGCAGGTTCTCCTTCCTTGGAGGTTCTCCCATCAATTCCACGTTCTCCTTGTTTTTCTGAGTGTCCAAGCCACATTATTGCAGGTGAGACTGAATAAAACGCTTCCTAGGGAAATCCTTTGGGATCCCTTTCCCAAAATGGAAAACTTTTCTCCCAGCTGTCGCCCACAGGGTCAACATTTTCTGCCGCCCACTCCCCCCCACCCTCCGATGACCACCGTCAGTCATGGGGCCACACAAGTATGGTTTCTAAACTGGCTGGATCTAGAGTCTGGATACATCAAAGAAGCACTTCAGTTAAAGGTGTTGTAAATTCAAACAGTGAAAACAGGTAGAGAAAATCAGGACTCCACTGCACCATCCGGTGGCACAATGTTATATTGCACATACAATGCATATCAATCGCTTTTTCTTTGCCCATCTAATGATGATGAGAATAATAATAATTTATTATTTATACCTCACCCATCTGGTTGGGTTTCCCCAGCCACTCTGGGCGGCTCCCAATTGAGTGTTAAAACAATACAGCTTTAAATATTAAAACTATTATTAAACTATTAAAAATAACTATGTGCACAAACAAGGGCTTTCTCCCCTGCCTGCCCCCCCCCCCGTCCTGAATCTTCCATCATTCAGCTTCATTCACATACCTGTCAACTGATCAATGTATCTATGTACTGGCTCACTGGGAAAACTTCAGAAATTCATCTAGACCTGTGAGCTCAGCTACTCAGCAGCCCCTCTGCCTGAGGGATAATCCCTGGCATCCTGATACCTGAGTGCCAGACAGGTAGCCATTCCAGAAATAACAAACCCAGACGAAGACAAAAGGGTGTGATTGACTTCGCTGGGAAACAGGGAAATGTAAATATCTCTTTTGTTACACTCCATGGGTGTTTGGTGGAGGGCAAGGGGAACCATGGGGCAGGGTCCAGGATGCTCAGATTACTGCCACCAGACCTCCCCTTTCATGATGTATGAGTGATGTAGTTTGGGGGTGTAACATGGGGATTAGCAGCTAATAAAAGTTTGGGTTCTCTTTTGTTGGGGGCTTCCATCTTGTTCCACCTGGTGGCAGGTGGGAGTCCTGTCACTACAGTCTTCAAAAAAGACCAAGCCAACTGGCTGCTGTTTTGCTCTGGTAATCCTGGCTGGTGTCCTTGTTTTTTGTCCAAGGGAAACCTCAGATTTCTCCATTAACATAACGTACCCAAAGCCTTCAAAAGGTCCACTTTCCTGCATTTTGCAGCTCAGCAATGTGTAGTTCCAGGAGAGGCAGGAACAGCGTGTCTTCCTGTTCCCCCCTCAGCTGAGACCTGCCTGGATGGAGACCTGCGACCCACCTCTCAATGTCTGGAGGGCTGACCCATGGAATAGGGAGCCAGCTTGTTTTCTCCTGCCCTAGAGGGGAGCACCCAGAAGAAGGGACCCAGAGGACCAGAAAGCAGTTTCTTCTGACGGGAAGAGCAGCAGAATCCCTTGGGAGATGGCGGACTCTCCTTCCTTGGAGGTTTTTAAGCAGAGGTTGGATGCTTTGGCTGAGATTCCTGCCTTGCAGGGGGGTTGGAATAGATGACCCTTAGGGCTCCCTCCCATTCTAGGATGAGGTTCCTTGCTTCCTGCAAACCCCTTTTCCCTGCAACCTCTTCCTCCAGTTTCTGGCCAAGGGAGGGAGCGGATCACAGACCAACCAAGAGCGTCCCCTCAAAATGAGCATCTCTGGGATGCTGCAATGCAGGAGAGAAAAGGCAGAGAGGACTGAGCAGGGTGGACTCGGCTTTGCAAGGGTTAAAGGGAACTGAGCTGCATTCCTAGAGGGGACAGGAAGTAAAGGGGGGGCCAGGTCCTCCAGAGGAAAGCCCCCTCCCTCCCCTTCCTCGGGGGGGGGGGGAGGGGTTGCTTTCCTCTGCTGCAAAGGCTGCCTTGCTCTCTTCCAAGGGGATCTGGTGAGTCTCTTCCTCCTCCTCCCCCCCCCCAGGCTGCAGTGGGGAGAAGGTGGGGGTCCCAGGGCTGCAGCAGGGGAGGGTGGCTCATGTGGGGGGGGGAGCCCCAGGGAGCAGGGGGTCCTGCCAGGGAGGGGCGAGTTCGCAGGAACTGTCTCCTTCCTTTAGATCTTTTGGGGGGGGAGGGGAGGAGGTTACAGCCCCATCTTCCAGAAAAGAAAAGTATTCAGAGCCCCCTGGGAAACCTAGCAGATAGAAATCTAGCTTCTTTAAATAAGGCTATCAGTAGGACTTCTGCAGTGTGTGACACGGGTCAGCCTCATTGCACAACAGAGGAAAGACGTATGAATGGTTGCTCCAAAACCTCTTCCTTTGTTTCCCTTCTTTCTTTCTGCTTCTACCGCCCCCTTATTGGCAGAGGAGGCCAGCCAAGCAGATCAAGCCAAGCTTTATGAGGAGCTGGGTATGTTGAGTTGGAGAAGAGGGGACAGAGAGGAGATAGGAGAGCCATCTCACCTGGGCACAGGATTCCAACCCATGGCTTCAAGCTACAAGAAAGGAGATTCAGACTCAACACTCCTAGTCATTTTTCACGAGGCACCAAGGACTCCCTTGTCAATCAGTTCTGACTTCATGCATTGACTGGAAGGAAGGAGCAACCAGGCTGATTCGCCTCGCATTAATCTCTTCGCTTGCCTAAACATTTCCACAATCTCCCTTCTAGAGGCCTATATCTTCTCCTCCTCCTTTTTTGAAAGATAGCTCAGAGTCTGGGCTGTGGTGCAGTCCTACCCTGGTTCCCAGCAAGACTCACCCATGCTTGCTCAGGGAACCTTTTTCTTCTCCTGATATTGTACAGCTTTTGTAACAGAACAATGTATTTGCTTTGTAGGATTTGCTAGAGCTTCTCATTCAGACAGACAGAACTTGGCAGAAGACCAAAAGGTTCCTTCCGATCTCTCAGAGGCTTCCTGAGAGCACAGATGGATGAGCAAGACTCAGCTGGCCCTGGAACAGGAAGAGGCCATGCCAACCAAACTGGGAGCAGTGGGGGGTTATGGGAAAACTCTGTGCAGAAGATCCTGGGTGAGGAGGACACCCTCCGCTCAGAGGTGCAGAGCCAGCAGTTGAGGCAGTTCTGCTTCCAGGAGGCCAAAGGACCCCGAGAGGTTTGCAGCCGACTCTACCACTTTTGCCACCAATGGCTGAAGCCAGAAAGGCACACGAAAGCTGAGATGCTGGACCTGGTGATCTTGGAGCAGTTCCTGGCTGTCCTTCCACCAGAGATAGAGAGCTGGGTGAGGGAATGCGGAGCGGAGACCAGTTCCCAGGCGGTGGCCCTGGCTGAAGGTTTCCTCCTGAGTCAGGCAGAGGAGAGAAAGCAGGTGAGAGAGACTTTCCTCTGGATACTCCCAAGGGGTTCCAAACAGGACAGAGAACATCCCATAATGGTCTGTTTGTGGCTCATCCTTTTTCGGGGAATGAGATCTAACACCCTTAAAGTATCTGTCTTTGTGTTCTCTTTCTAATATTTCTCACCTTTCATTTACTGTTTTGAATTCTTGTTGTTCTTTCAGAAAAGGGATCATTTTGCAGAAATGGAACTGGATTCCTGTGAGGCAGAGAGGCCTCCGTTGGACACCAGAGAGAGGCCACTGGGTAAGGAGGAAGGTGGCTTTTCTCCATTTGGTCTTGTTCTGTTGGTTTTCCAACTCATCTGAGGGTTCTTTTCATCTTGGGTTTTTTTTTTTTTGAGGGGTGCTGGTTGGGAACAAGGGTTCAGAGGAGAGGAAATGTATTTCTGCACACCAAACATGAAATGGGCGCAAACCTTCAAATGCACTCAGCAGGTAAGGCTTTCTCAAAGCCCATCTGTAGTTAGAGATGTCCTGTTTCCCCTGTGAGAGAAGCAGGCACTCCTGGCATCCTGCTTACCTTTTTTTCTTTTGCAGGTGAAAGAATGAAGCCAGCAAGACCTCCTTATCCACCTTTTCATGGGGGCAGAAGGGAAGCAGTGGCTGTGGAACCAGATCAGGTCAGGGGAAGCTACCTTGTGGGGTCAGAGGCCGAGGGATGGAGCAATGTCATGGACTGTTTGGGCACAGAGAAATGGTGGGAGGAAGCAGCCAGGGAACCAGGAAGGGAAGACGGCTCAGAGCCCAAGGAGTGGAGTTGGAGGGAGGATGAGCGGTCAGAGGGAGAAGAGGGAGAAGCCTGGGAAGAGGAGGTGTCAGAAGCTGAAGGGGTAACAGGGCTTAGTGAGCTGGGAGACTCTGTGGCAGAATGCAGTGCCGAATCAGAGGCAGAAGAGGAAGGAGGCGAGTGGGAGAGAAAGATCGAGAGGCAGAGGTGAGTCAGGAGAAGGAGGAGCCACCGGGGGCTCCCTCTCCTGCCAGAAGCCACCCTCCCTGCTTGTCTCTCAGAGCCAGCAAATGGCTTACAATGGAGGAGCAAAGGCAGGCTGCACACTGGTGCACTGGTCATTCGATTGCCAGAAACCCCAGAGAGGAGGGGACTTGGAAAGCTGTGGGGAGCCAGGGGCCTTCACTCTCAGCAACTGCTTTTGTGGAGGAAGAGGCTCAGGGAATGAGCTGCTGTTCTCAAGAGGCCCGAAACTCAGCCAAGTCTGTGAACATCGTGTTCTTGCTGATAAAGAGTTAAATCCAGCTGTGAACTGTGGGAAGAGGAGGTGTCAGAAGGTTAAGGGGTAACAAGGGCTTAGTGAGCTGGGAGACTCTGTGGCAGAATGCAGTGCAGAATCAGAGCCAGAAGAGGAAGGAGGCGAGTGGGAGGAGGAAGGTCAAGAGGCAGAGGTGAGTCAGGAGAAGGAGGAGCCACCGGGGGCTCCCTCTCCTTCTGCCTGAATCCACCCTCCCTGCTTGTCTCTCAGAGCCAAGAGAGGTCTAACATGGAGGAGTAAAGGCAGGCTGCACACTGGCACACTGTTCAATCGCTTGCCAGAAACCCCAGAGAGGAGGGGACTTGGAAAGCTGTGGGGAGCTGGGGGCTTTCACTCTCAGCAACTGCTTTTGCGGAGGAAGAGGCTCAGGGAATGAGCTGCTGTTCTCATGAAGCCCGAAACTCAGCCAAGTCTGTGAACATCGTGCTCTTGCTAATAAAGAGTAAACTCCAGCTATGAACTGTGGGATTTCCTGCCCAGATAACTCTGTGACACCAGGCTTCTGAATGTTGCCAGTAGGATTCATCTGTAGTTGCAGTTTTCATGGAATCCTAGAGTTGAAAGGGACCCAAAGGGTCATCAAGTCCCACCCCCTGCATTGCAGGAGTCTCAGCTAGATCCTCCAAGACAGATGGCCATCCAGACTAGGCTTCTTGTATTTCTATATTCATCAATGAATGCTAAAATAGGCTTCTAAGCAGCGGACAGACGATAACAAATAATTTCCAGGATTCACCTAGCCAGCCCTATCTGCTGCAAAATGGGGCCTGCCCCCCACTCCGCCCCCTCTCCATGCCCCCATGAACCCCTGGAATTTCGCTCTAGGGCATTGGAAGGGAACCTCTCCAGAACAACTCACGAGGAGAGGAGAAAGTGGATCCTTCCACGGGGGAAACTGGAATGCTTGCGTAGGCAGAAAAACGTAAACATAAGCTGGAGTACCAACTATTTGCAGAAAGACGAATACCCACACTTAAAATGCAGAATAAAAGAATTCAATTAAAGCGTTAAAATAGGTACCCATATTAAAAATGTGCAGCAAAGGAATCATATTGAAATAACACAGCAATTAACAGGAAGGAAATAACAGAGCATTGTGTAGCAGATCATATTTCTGCTGTCTCAGAGGAGGACATTTCCCTTTTTCTTTTAGGGTCCAGTGTGCTTTGAAGATGTTGCTGTTCATTTCACGGATGAGGAGTGGGCATTGCTGGATCCTAACCAGAGAGCTCTGCATAAGGACGTCATGGAGGAGAATCAGGGGATCGTGGCCTCTCCTGGTAAGCCTCCGTGTGGGATTGTCCTATCTGCCAGGAAATTCAAAAAATACCTCTATGTGACAAACCTCATATATTTTCACAGCGCCCCCTACAACACCTGGGAACCTTACACCCCCACTAGAAGCAGTAAATTACAGTTCTTTTCTGAGAACAATCTTCCTCCAGTTCTGCCTTTTTCTACCACAGTTGGGCTGATCTGAACTGCCCAGGCATCTTAAATGTCGGCTTCAGAGTTGTTTGGAAAGATAAGTAGCTTCTGTCAGGATTTCTGTATTTGTTTTTGCTGCTGTCAGTCTTGGGTTGACCAAAGAGACAACTGACACTGGAGATCGAGGGGATGCCATGACTGGGCCAAACAACATCTGCCCCAGAGAAGAGCCAGGCTGATTGAATCTCAGGTAGTAGTAGCAGTGATATTAATAGCAATGGCTGATTAGAGTGTGTCCAGATGAGGTGCGGGCTCCCCTGGGGCATATCATAAATTTGTCCCTTGGCACCGGGATATTCCCAGGGGAACTGAAGGAGGGAGTGGTGCACCCGCTCTTAAAGAAAACATCATTAGATCCCTTAGATCTATCCAATTACCGCCCGGTTTCGAATCTTCCATTCCTGGGTAAGGTAATTGAGAGAGCGGTTGCTGAACAGCTTGGCAGGTTTCTGGATGAAACATCGGCTCTGGATCCATTCCAGTCCGGCTTCCACGCTGGTCATGGGACCGAGACGGCTCTGGTCGCCCTAACAGATGATCTCCGCAGGCAGCTGGATCGAGGCGGGTCGGGGCTGCTGATTCTTCTAGACCTGTCAGCAGCCTTCGACATGGTCGATCACGAACTCCTGGACCACCGCCTTGCCGACGTGGGGATCCAGGGCACAGTCCTTCAATTGCTGCACTCGTTTCTCTCTGGTTGGGGACAGAGGGTGGTGCTTGGGGGGAATTGTCATCGCGCCACTCCTTGGTGTGTGGAGTGCCTCAGGGTGCGATACTCTCCCTGATGCTTTTTAACATTTTTATGCCCCCCCTCGCCCAGCTTGTCTGGAGTTTTGGGCTGGGTTGCCATCAGTATGCCGATGACACCCAACTCTATCTGTTGATGGATGGCCATTCTGACTCGGCCCCTGCTGCGAGATCACATTCATCCGGTACTATACCAGCTGCACTGGCTCCCGGTGGAGTACAGGATCAGGTTTAAGGTCTGGTTTTAACCTTTAAAGCCCTATACGGCCTAGGGAGACTTCCGGGTTAGTGCCTCCGGCAATGGCGGAATTCCTCTGATCGGGAGTAATTTGCCCCGTGGGAATTTGGGTCTGGCCGCCACGGCGAAGGCGGAGACCCGCCAAAAAATCACAGGCGGGAGAAGCCTGTGAGCATGGGATTCGGCGGGCACCTTTTGCGCCTCCCCTACCGTGGGGAAACCCGGTTTCGGGGATCCAGAGCGAAGTGGGGTGAGCGGCGCGGTGCTTTGAATCGTCTGCTTCTTCCACTGAGCGAAGTCGCATAGCTGTTGCCGGAGAGCACTTTCTCCTGTGGACAATTTGACTCCAAAGTAATTACCCATGAGTAGAGCTGAAGCGGGAGAATTGGATTTTAAACATTTAATTTGGCATCGAAATGGGGAGGTTCAATACAGGAAGTCCGCCTTCTCTATTTGTAAATAGACTGAGGCAAGGAGGCTGCAAGCTGAAGTCTTGGAAAGCCTTCTGTAAAAGACTAGATTTCCATCGGCAAAGAGCATAAAACCCCCCTTGGAGGCAGGAGAAGAGGGGGGGAAGTTGTGGACTGAGTATGCCTGCAGGAGAGAGTGAAGAGAGTTAAAATACCGCCGCTCTGACCCTGGAAACGGGCTGCTAGCAGGACTGACATTTTGGAATGTTCATTGACCGCACTTAGAACGTTCCTTGACAGCTAGCAAAATAAGAGAAATACATTGTTTCTACTGCCTCCGGCTACTTCTAAAAAGGAGTAAAAAGTAACTGAAAACTGAAACTAACTTTGGATTGTATGAGTTGCGTTTAAAGGGGACATTATTGACTATTATAAATAGAAACTTTTTCCCCCTAGTGGAAATCTCTGAAATTGGTTGCTTTATAAGAGCTGGGCTAGGGGAATTTCCAGCTGCAAGATAAAAAATTGTGAGACTCTGGGATTGACCTTGAATCTCTTAAGTGTTATGGCAAATGGAAAGGAAAAAACAGACGAAATGTCGACAGAAGAGGCCTTAGTGGTCGCATTAGTGAAAATAAACGATTCGCTGGAACAGCTTCACAAGAAAACAGACGTGATAAATGTGAAAGTGGATGCTGCAAATATTAAAATCGACTTAATTATAGAAAGTTTAAATAATCTGGGACAAAAGTTCCCAAAAGGAACACCAATACAGAAACCATCCAGAAATTGATACAGGAATCTACTTTGATATGGCAAACTGCGGATGAAGTCAGGGAGAAAACCCTTGTTGCTGAATGCAAAGCAATACAACTGGAGAGAGAGAGAGTCCCATCCATTCAAAGGCAACTCGATGAACATAAGCTGACATTTGTTATGATGGAACTTAAAGAAAAACAGACGAATTTGAGGACCAGAGCCCTACCTGAATTGGGAAAGGAAAGTTTGACAGAGTTTCAGGAGGAGACAGGACTAACATCGGTTGAGAAAGAGAGGTATTTGGGGGTCAGTATGACCGCCAAAAATGTGAATCTATTTAAGGATAACTGTGAAGGACGTTGGATTGAAGAGAAGGGGGATTGGGAAATATGGACAAATCTGAAGTTGTTATTGTTGGGCCGAGTTGTTGTGGTGGGGATGAGGGTTGCTGTGTTGCCGGGGATGTTGCTTTTGTTTCAAACAGTGCAAGTTTTGGATGGGATGGATTGTTTCAGGAGGTGGCAGAGGGATGTTTCTAGATTTGTTTGGCAGGGCAGGAAGCCTCAAGTAAAATTTAAGATATTGACGGATGCCAAAAAAGGAGGTGGACCTGCCCTGCCAGACCCCTAAACTTTGTTGTGAACCATCTGCTTTTTGCTGGCTGAGAGAATGGCTGCTTCTTGAAAGCACTGAAGTGTTGGATAATGGCA